GTTCAAGAACCGTAACCAAAATTTACTATTATATAGAACTATTAATTTGCTAAATTGATGAACGACAAATAATATCTATTGGTCAACAGTATTTTTTTAACAAAATTGCAGCTTTAAAAATAAAAATAAAAGTAAGTATAACATTTTCGTTTTATATATATATATATATATATATATTTAGTTTTATTAGAAAACTATGATAAATTGACCCCAATTAAAGGTCAGGCTGATTCACATAATCACATTAGAGTTTGTGACATTCTAATTGTTCTCACTCTATAGCAATGTCTTTTATATATCCATGGTAATAAGTATTTCATTTACAGTTAGTCTATTGACTAACGGTTAGGCGGTCATACCTATATGTTCAACATATATGTAACACTACAAGAAAATGATGAAATTTCAACGGAAATCTATTTCAAAAGAATTATTCCAACGGCAATTCCAACGGATATTTCAATACTATTATTTTCGTTGGAATTTTTCAATGGATTCCAATGAAAATTCCAACAAAAATATTCCGTTGCAATGGGTTTTTCATTGGAATTTCCGTTGGATTTTGACGATTCCAACGGTGGATTTTTCAACGGGGGTGAAAAAAAAATTCAATGGAATTTGCATATTCCAACGGAAATTCCTACAGTAAAAAGTCGTTGGAATCATCAAATTTCATCTAAAATTCCAATGAAAAAAACACATTCCAACGGAATATTTCCGTTGGAATTTCTGTTGGAACTATTCCAACGGAAACTATTCCATTGGAATATCCGCTGGAATTTCCATTGGAATATATTACTATAGGATTTTCTGTTGGAATATAACATTTATTTTGTAGTGTATATTTTTGCACCAAAAAAAAAACATATATGTATATTTTTAAATTTAAATCGTATTTTAAAAAATAATATAAACAAAAGTATGATATTTTATATTACATCATGTATTTTTTTTTTAAAAAAAATAAGTGTAATGATGGACCGTTAATACAAAAATTTGTGTTTCAATTATTTTATTAACTTATCCACCAATTCTCGTGTAATTTTTTCACAACTTAATTTTTTTTTTTCATGTACCCAATGCAAAATTTAAAAAGAAAATGCAATAAGATTCATACCCTAATTACAAATGTTGAGACAAAGTTAGGTTAAAAGCTCATTCTCTTGACTCCAATTAAAAATAGCTCATCATTTTAATTACTTAGGCCAAAAGAAATTCTATTTCACAAGCTCTATAAATTGTGCCAATTCCTCCATTAATCTTATCCTTCAAACCCCAAACCAATATTTCTTCATTTTCTCTTTTCTCTCTCTACTTAAAGTTATGGATAAAAAGCCATGCAAATCTCAAGATGTTGAAGTGAGGAAAGGACCATGGACCATGGAAGAAGATCTTATTCTCATGAATTACATAGCCAATCATGGAGAAGGCGTTTGGAACTCGCTTGCTCGATCAGCTGGTAAAATATAAAAGTATCATTACAATATACGTTTTTTCGATATTGTAGATGCTTTTCGTATGAACTAAAATGCGCGCGTTGTATGTCTTTTGTTGTATATAGGGCTCAAGCGCACTGGAAAAAGCTGTCGATTGAGGTGGCTTAACTACCTTCGACCGGACGTTAGGAGGGGAAATATTACTCCGGAGGAGCAACTTTTGATTATGGAGTTGCATGCTAAGTGGGGAAATAGGTAAGTGTTTTTTTTTTTTTTTTTTTTTTTTTCATGTTAGGGTTTTATTAGATCAAGACTAACAATTAATTACCTTAATATGATGAGAAATGGTGGTTTGTTTGTTAGGAACAGGTCAATTGGGTCCTTTCACCCATACAAGCCTTCACATTTTAAAAGTGGTTTTGATTCAAGTTGCAATGTAAAGATTCACTTTCAAGAAAAAATATCAAACTTGTTAAGATGGTTACTAGGTGTCATATTTTTCTCTCTAATTTAATCACATAACCTCTACCAACTCAAATCTTTGACTATTTTCAAGATCCTAATTACCCTTCTCAATTTCCTAAATCTCTCGCTCTCTCTTTCTCTCTCTCTTTTTTACCCCTTCTAAAGCACGAAGATAGATAAAAAGAATAATTAAAAGGTACGAAGCAAAAGGGTAAGAAAAAAACAAGTTCAAACACAAACACGAACTATTCTGCAGTGCAGTAATCGATTTTTTTATTGTATACGTTAATTCAACTATGAAAAACTCGATTGAACTTCAAACGAACATAAAGATGGGGGGTGATGGGATTTTTCCATTTTAAGAAAAAACACTTCTCAATATCAAATATGTCACATGTTAACATCTCCAACTGTCTGAAAGGGCAGCCCTCAATTGCTGGCTACTTATATTGAAATTGACAGCCACCATATTGTTTTGTCCTGTAATTAGTTTATTTCTTTTATTTTTTTTATTTTTTAATTTTTAGAAGAAAAGCTTAGGCCTTACTTGCATATATATGTACTTTATTAATTTACCTTTTCATTAAATTAACCTTTTTCCAGTAAATTTGGATAATATCACTCACCTGTTTTCTTCTAAATTCTAATCATATATAAATTATAAAGTACAATAATTCATAGTGACTTTATTTTCAAGAGGACAATCAGATATTATCTAACTTATCTGTTTTTTCACAAGTGCAAAAGGCCAAGGTTGAAAGAAACTGAACACCAAATCATGTGGGCCTTAATGGACCCATGTTGGATATCATTTCCTCTATGGCCCATCAACCCTTTCAAAATTCATTTATTGTCTAGGTAGGCAAGTCATCATTAATCACAAATATATTTTTCTTAAGAAAAAGAATATTTTACCATCATATTTTCCACTAAAATTCTATTAGTAGAGTTCAACACACTTATACTTGTGTACTACGCGAGCGTTAATAAAAAGAAATATATAACTTAATTTAAAAATACATAAAATTACGAAGCAACATAAATTGCTTCATAAATTCGATAAACGCTGTATTTATATATAGTGTATATAAAAATAAACTTGAGGAGAGACTATAACCTTGAATCGTCTTGGTTAACCACGTGTAGATATGAGAAACCATACCGAGATGCTATATTTTCCATTTTTCTCCTCTTATCTTCTTTTAAAAAAAAATGAAGAATAAGAAGAAATAAAGAAAGAAAAACTAAAGAAAAAAGTTGAAATATGTTACTAAATTTGTGTTTGGAATGGATCTAAGCTATATGCTCAAAAACTCAAGCATATCAAGTGATAGCAAGATACAAAATGCAGCAAAGCTTGCTTTATATATATAAAATTTTTTGGTGGGGGACTATCTAACAAATTTGAATCACAACCATATGGAAAATGTGTTTTTATTTGATCCTCAATTCCAAATTCCTTGTGGCTTGCATAAATTTTAAAAGTGTCCAAAGCGTTACCATTTACAATATTGTGTGCCAAATATATAGTACAACATATCTTGACTCACCTAAATTTCAAAAGTAGTTAGGTCAAAATTTAATTTCTTCACACACATATGTCACATTAATATAACATATTCCATCTATGGAAGCAATTACATATAGATCTTACCATGTATTTAGGTATTTGTATCAATTTGTACACTTAAATGAATGTTGTAGGTGGTCGAAAATCGCGAAGCATCTTCCCGGAAGAACCGACAATGAAATTAAGAACTACTGGAGGACTCGAATCCAGAAGCACATTAAGCAGGCCGAGAATAGTTGCGTACCGGGCCAATCAGGCGGCGATCAACACAACACAGATCAAGCCAGCACGAGCCAGATGTCGGGCTACGGGCCCACGGATCACACGGATGAGTCCTATTTTCAAGGCCCATTTCCCACCGACCAAACAAATGATGGCCTTTGGAGCATGGAGGATCTTTGGTCCATGAATTTGGTCAATGGAGACTAAATTAAACAATTTGTTTTAGGTCTCTATCAAAAATCGATCTCCACCGTTGATCCTGAAACCGATAACCCTAAGTATGCATCTATATAGTCCTCGTTGTATAGATTAATTAAGTAATTTGTTTAAGTCGATTATTGATTTTCAGTAGGATATATACGTAGAATTATATGGTCTTGGGTATATGAGTGTATGGTGTCGGTTTTTTATATATGATACAAAAATGACGATTTTACGTACGTACATATGTCCAATTTTCTATATGTATAAACGACAAACGATTAAAAAAAGCCATAATCCAATAGCTTTGAAAAGGAATTAACAAACCTTGTTTGATTAACAAAATTAGTACGCAAGTACGTTCTTAAGTTCAATTATGTTCAAGTGACGATTAATCAGTTTGGTGTTAGTGACGTAATGATTCTTAAGGTAGCGTCTTAATCAAACGTAGAATTCCTCTCTTTGTTGTCCCTATCTAATTTCACGATCAAGTAAAGGTCTTGTAAAGGAATGTGAATATACTTTTGGATGGACTATTCAAGATAAGAGAAGTAGAGTGGTAAAAGAGCCAAGCCGAGCTGAGTTCTAAGGCATTTATCGAGCCCATCGAGTCAAAAAAACGAGCACAAACTCGTTCAGTTATCAAAATTAAAAAATTGAACTCGTGTTTCAACGATTCGTACGACTAAGATAACAGTTCAAAAAATTAAATAAAAATCTTTATTTTCAATCCGTAACGAGCATACTAGATTCATACTAAACGAGCTGTTAAATAAACTCATATTCAGCTCATTTGATATCGAATTTAGTCAAACTATGGTCTTAACGAACTTTATCAAGCCAACGATCACTCGAATTGGTTTACTATCTCCAAAGATATAAAAAGTAAAAATAAAAATAAAAAAATACGCACACAAATTCTGTACACTTAAGATAAGAAAAATATAGATTTTCAATGTATGTGATATTATGTGTGCATGCATGATTTGACACGCGCGCACACGAATGAGTGTGTGCGAGTGAAAAAAGTCCGAGTTGAAGATATGATGCGTGGAACAAATACCGAACCCAATGAAAAATTCGAGCCTACTCATGTGGACACTGCTCACATGGGGTTTTTTACCATTGATTTACACATAAACACACACACATCCACATAGGTGTGTGTGAAATCAATGGTAAAAACCCCATGTGGACAGTGCCCACATGAGTAGGATCGAATTTGCCGAACCCAATAGAGGGCAATTAGACACGTGGAAAGTTTGTATAACTATTTTTGGCAAATTTGAGTGTCCACTTTCTATATCAAAGCTATTTTTGTTCATGGCCGTCTCCATTTGGACATGGACTGCGGCCTAACTCTTACGCGCTTATTGGGAAATTTTCACGTGCTCCATTTTTATACATTTTTTTTTTAATTCATATTTCTATTTTCTTACTTGGAAATAGTTTAATATCTAATAACCAATTCAATTTATTGTAGTCATTGACTTTTTGATCGGTTGATAAACATAAATGGATCTTTTTTATCATTATATGAAAATATATATAGTGATGTGTGTTGATCTATCGTTGAAAAATTTTATAATTGCAGTACAATGCAATCACCGACGGAGTCGAGCCCTCCCCATTAAACGAGAGGACAAGAGATTCTTGCATATAATATCATATTTAAAACTTGACTGGTCGACCAAAGTTTCAATCCAACAAACACGTCTCAAATTACGATCCCAATCAACTTGTAAAATAGCGAGGTGATCACTATGAATCGCAGCACAACGCTATGATGCCTTATGTCAATTTTAAAATTGATGATATTTTCTTTAATCATCATGATAATCAAGATTATATATATGTGTGTGTGAATCAATTGATCAAAATAAAATCAAGTTACAAAAGTTATAGTATATTTTTCATAAAATTTTTTATTACAACCTTGATCAATTTTCGAGCTAATTTAATTTATGAACTTTTGTGTATTATGTCCACTAGCCCATACTAGTTTTTGATGCCACATCACAATAATTAATTAATTGTAATATTTTACCCATGTGGAAAAGCACATAATATGTACCATGTGAAGTGTAAATATCATTCATTTCGAAAAAATAATAAGTTAAATTTCAGAAGTTGAAAGGATAAAAATATACAGTAGGCGGACTACTTTGGGCCAATTAAAATAGGGCATTTCGATGGGCTTTCTCCAATTAGGCCAGCTTTCATTGTTAACTGTCCATAGATTTCAAATGGGCCAACAAGAGTTATTCGTGCCTCTTTCTACAAAAACTGGTGTTGACGAACTGAATATTTACGAATAAAAACTTGTTCGAGCTAGTTCTTACTTTAATAAGAGTGCGCTCGTTTGTTAATCGAGACTAGTTCAAATAAAAATTATTCTCGTTTAATTATCAAACAAACGAAAACTTTTGCCAAACAATCGTTAGTTTGTGAACATTAATTTAGCATTTTTTTTTTTAATTTATATGCATGATATTTGAATACAAAACGTTTAACATATTAAAATATCTTTATTTTTTTCGAGTTTCAGCGAGCTGACGTTGAGTTTTATGAAATAATTATAAAAACTTTGTTTTATAAATTATTCAAATACAAATTAACTCCTACTTTGACAAACAATTAAACGAATGAGGTGAAACATGAATTTTTGGCTCGAGTATTATACGAATGAATATGACTAGTGTTTCAACATAATCAAACACGTGCACGAAATGCTCAAACTCAGCTTTTATTTTATTTTATTTTACTTTTTTTATGTTACGATCCCGTTGCGGAACTATTTCGTCGGGGTTTGTTTGTAACCATTAAATCAACTATTCTCGACGGTTACATGATGATCTAACGGTTACAAACCTCGACAAAATAATTCGGTAACGGGACCGTAGCATTTATCTATATTGACGGGAATTCTTGCCACGTCTGAATCATCTCCCTCCCTCGCAGCAGCTTCACACACCGAAGCGTGAACTGACACTCGTCAGTTACCCGCCTGCAAATTTTCACCTTTCTGCTTTTCATTCACTCTCCACTAAAAACCGCACTCGCTCTCTCCAAGGGCCACGTAAGCATAATCACTGCGGCTGTAGAGCACGCGGCAAGCCATGAAAGAACGGAAAATATGTACGCCTGTGGGTCTCCTGAAAAAGTTCGTACAAAATTCAAAACAAAGCAGCTGTTGAGCTTGGCCTTTATTTGCAGTACTAAAAAGCCCATTTGCTTTGAGAAAAATCACTGTCGTTTTGTAGCTGGAAAATGAAAATCCTTTCATTTCTTAAACCCCATTACTGTAAAAATTCTATCGGTAAGTTGTCGGCTGCCTCTGCGTAAAGATTTGAAGATGATGTTTTTTGGGAATCGTGCCGTGGATTGTTAGCTGGTAAGAACAATCTCTGTTCTGTTTTTAAGGTTCTTGGTTTTGTTTTCATTTGTTGCGTGTTCGCTTTGGAAAGAAATGATGTGTTGTTCTTGGTGAAACTTTTTTTGCTTGCGAGTTTGTGTCATTTT